GCAGGTGGTGTATGTGTGGAGAGAGGACAGAAGGACAAGGAGGACCCTCCCCACACACCCCCATCACTGAGGAGTCAGGCAGAGGTCCCTGGGGCCTCGGGCTTACCTCCTGGGCACCAGGCTGCCCCATCTCATGGCCTGAGCCTCAGGTCCACCTGTAACTGAACAAGAATCCCTACCTCGACTTCCCTAACCCTGGGCTCCTAGCTGCTGCTTGGAGGCTGTCTTGCCCTGGCTCCCCTGCCTTGACCTTGTGTGCAGCTGCTCCAGCTGACTTCATCATTCTAGATTCGATCTAGTATTCTAGGCTGCTGAGTCTTTTGGACTCTGAAGCTGCTGCCCAGGGCATCGGCTCTCCCTCCCAGCTGTGTCATTGACACATTTGACCAATGTGCCCTCCATGCCTTTATCCAAATCATTGAAAAACAAAGTTAACCAGGAGAGCCAAACACTGATCCCTGGGGCACTCGCCTGGAGACCTCCCGCCCGGGGGGCCCCACAGTGGCTGAGCCACTCAGCCATTGCCAGGGCCTGGGAGGTGGCCTCAAGGAGTCATCCAGGGCCGGCCAGCCCCCCTGCACAGAGAGATGCTCTCAAGGCCCCTAGAAATTCCTGAGGTTGCTCAGGCAACTCCCCACTCAGCCCCAAGCGCCGGGAATCTTGCTCCACAAACTGCTTACTAATACGGGCACTGCCAGGCACTGCCCGCTGGTGCAGGATCAAATCGGGACCGAGGTATGTAAATCACCTCGTTAGCCAGCAGGTGGCCCTCAGGGCCACGCCTCGGGATGCTGCGGCTTTTCCCCTAGGGCATCTTCCCACAACTGTGGGAGCTCTCCGGCTCTCTGTGCTCCTGAAAAGGGGTCAGCAGAACAGACTTCTCTTGACAGGCTGGCCCTGAGTGGGGCGGGGATTTGCCTGCCTCCACCCCCAGACCTAGCAGATCTTTCTTCCCTTGGCCACTGACTGACTTCTCTCCAGCCCCTTGGGTTCAGGGGCCTCAATTTTGACTCTGGAGAAACTGAACTGGCCCTTGAGGGTCAGCTCCTACAGTCCCCCTAAGTCAAGCCTCCCCGTGGCTAGGAGAGATTGGGGGCTGCTCTCGGAACCTGAACTGAGGACCAGGGCGCTATTCCTGTGGTTAGTTGGGTAAAGCTGCCTGGCCTCTTGCACAGAGGGACCAGCCTGGGATGGGGGCACCAGGTCACACTCACTCCTGAGGGAAGCCGGGCCCTCCCAACCCTGGGTCATTGGGGCCAGGCTCCTAATTGGTCTCTCTCAGCAGGGCCCCTATGAGCAGGGACTGGAGGGCAGAGACAGGGGAATGCTGTTCAGGTGGAACGGAATGAGTGTGCAGGGAAGGCTCAGCGGCCGGAGGGGGCATATTTAGCCCTGCTCCTGCCTACCTTTACAGCCTCTTGGGCCATTGGGTCCAGCTGTTTAAATCCTGGGCAGTCAAGATTTAAAGAGAAAAGCTTCTTGTAAATGGGGGGGCAGGGGTACCTTCGGAGAGCCTCCCAGCCAGCCCGGGCCTCGGCAGCCTCGGCACCAACCCAGGTCTTGCCCCAACCTGAAGGTCTGGGGTTAGGAGTCATGGGGGCAATGTGGAGGCCAATCTTAGCTTGCTATTGGGAAGAATTTCCTAAGCTTGAAAGCTCCCCAAGAGGGCAACGGTAGTGAGCTCTCCTTCACAGGAAGCCGCTAACAGAGTCTAAGGGGGTGATTGTCCGGGAGGTTGTAGAGGGGCTTTGGGTCAGGCACAGATGGATGGGAGGCAGCTGAGGGTCCGTCCAGTGGAGGTTCTCTCACTTGCACCTCCTGCGAGGTGCTTTCCACGTCAGGTTCACACTGAGCCCTCCTTTCCCATCCCTCTCCATTCCACAGGGAGCCCCAGAAAGTGTGATTGAGCGTTGCAGCTACATGCGTGTTGGCACCAGGACCGTTCCCCTCACCCCTGCAGCCAGGGAGAAGATCCTGGCTCGTATCCGGGACTGGGGTACAGGCATTGACACTCTGCGCTGTCTGGCACTGGCCACGCGAGATGCCCCTCACAAGATGGAGGACATGCAGTTGGACGATGCCACCAGGTTCATCAACTATGAGGTAAGGCCCCACCACCTATACTGACAGCATTCCCACTGCATCTGCCACCTCCATCTCTGGGCCCCCATCACCCCGATCACCTCCCCTCCAGGGCCCCCAGCACCCCGATCACCTCCCTTCCAGGGCCCCCATCACTCCAATCACCTCATACCCAAGTTCCCATCATTGCCTCCAACTCTCCCTCCAAATCTGTGGTCCTTACCCCCTTCCCCACCTCAGCTCAGGAACCTCCCACACCCACATTCCCCTGGTGTGACTCCCTCCCTGAAGATAATGGCTGCCAAAGATAGGCCCTCAGAGCCAACCTGGATGAGGGTGCAGCTGTTTTCTCTGCCCTTAGCCTAATGGGTCAGGCCCAGGGAGCACCCCCAAACATGCCCAGTCCATGAATTGGTCCAAACTCTTCTGGAAGTGTTTTCTGACCCACCCCTGGGGAATGAGCAATGCGGGATGGATAGGATGACTCCCTTCAGGGGAAAGTGGGATGGACTTTTACTTCCTCCAGATTCCCCTCTAACTAGCTATGTGGTCTCTGAGGGCGCCATCTTCCCTGTCTATAACATGGGTGTGGTAGGTGGGGGAGGTGGGGTTAGATCTTGAAGGTTCCTTGCTTGCAGCTCTGAAACCCGGAGGTTCTCCTACTGTGAGCCCTTCACCCACTAAGGGGGGCAGAGCCCAGCTGAGGCCCCTGCCTTACAGCGCCCCTCCCCCACACTCTTAATGCCCCCACAAGCCAGCACACATTCCTTCTCTGCCGCCTAGTTCTAACAGTCAGCATCGCCGGCCTGCTGTGGCCGCATGGTCTCACCCTGAGGAACACCAGGCTGGGGAGGGCAGAGCTAGCTTTCTGACATCAGTCTCAGAGGTCAGGCTCGCCTCACCTCCTCTGAGGGGGAAGCCCCTGCAGAACTGGGTCCAAAATTGGACCTGGTTGGATTTTCTCATGGTCCAGCTCCTGAGCACATGGAGGCACCTTGGCTGTAACGGGCCCTGTGAACAAGCGTGTGATTCGGGACTCATTGGTCCTAAACTTGTTTCACTGAGAGGCCTCCTTGGTGACCTTGAGTCCTAATTCTCCTGCTTGGACAACTAATCAGGACCCAGGTCCGTGGTCCAGGGAGTGTCTAGTCTGGCTAAGGAGAAGGAAAACTCGTGGGCAGCTGCTGACGGAGCGGCAGGGGCAGGAGGTGCTGTGGGGACCCGAGCGAGCGTGGGTGCGGGGCTAGAGAGGGGGGCAGGAGATGCTGCAGAGACCTGAGCGAGCAGGGACGAGAGGGCGCAGAGGAGGCGGCGGGAGATGCTGCGGGAGATGCTGCAGACACCGAGTGAGAGTGGGGAGGGCGCAGGGGAATGGGAGGGAGCGGAGCCAGAGGCGAGCCTGATCTGCTCGAGGCAGCCACATTTTTAAGCCGGGCTCTGGGCCAGGCACAGGGTAGCCAGGAAGGCTTCCCGGGGAAGCGCATTATCCCAAGCACCTTGGGCAGAGGAGGCCAGAGTGGACGAGGCGGAGGGCCGATGAGGTGCGCCCCAGCCCGTCCAAACACTGGCCGCGGCTCTCGCCCCCAGATGGATCTGACCTTCGTGGGCTGCGTGGGGATGCTGGACCCTCCCCGGAAGGAGGTCACTTCGTCCATCGAGATGTGCCGCAAGGCCGGGATCCGAGTGATCATGATCACTGGAGACAACAAGGGCACGGCGGTGGCCATCTGCCGGCGCATCGGCATCTTCTCGGAGACCGAGGACGTGTCCCGCAAGGCCTACACAGGCCGGGAGTTCGACGACATGGCCCCTGAGCAGCAGCGCGCCGCCTGTCAGAATGCCCGCTGCTTCGCTCGGGTGGAGCCGGCCCACAAGTCCAAGATTGTGGAGTACCTGCAGTCCTTCCGTGAGATCACGGCCATGGTGAGGGTCAGGAGACCGGGCGGCCTGGCGGGGCGCCCCCAAGCCCCGCCTCTCCTGCCCTCTCTACGCCCAGTGTCTCTGGGAGGGGACCCAAGGCGGGGGGTGGGTGGGGGGGAGGGGAGGCCTTGGCCAGTTGCTCCCACATCTGTGGGGCTGTCCCAGGTCTGCCCTGCGGGCCCTTAGAATGATGGTTGCCAATAGTGGGGATGGAATGAGGGAGCAGGACCCTCCATGACTGGGGTGGAGGGTGAGAGTGCCCTGGCGTTTTCAAGCTGGGGGCCAGGAGCAGTCTTTGCCCGTGTGTGAGTAGACCCCTGGGCCCCGGCTGGAGGCTCACCCTCTTCCCTGGGCTCTCCGGGCAGACTGGAGACGGTGTGAATGACGCCCCTGCGCTCAAGAAGGCCGAGATCGGCATCGCCATGGGTTCGGGGACGGCAGTGGCCAAGTCGGCAGCGGAGATGGTTCTGTCTGACGACAACTTCTCCACCATCGTGGCGGCGGTGGAGGAGGGCCGGGCCATTTACAACAACATGAAGCAATTCATCCGCTATCTCATCTCCTCCAATGTGGGAGAAGTCGTATGGTAAGAGACGCCCACCTGCCCTGACCAGACAGGGTCCTCTGCAGACAGGACTCAGTCCTGGGCCCCAGGGCTGTAATCTCACAAAATACATGGCATGCCCTGGCAGCCAGGAAATACTGCAAACTCCAGAGGGGCCCCTCTGGTATGCTGGGTAGACCCTCTACGGAGGTTTGATGAAACAGCACAAAGATGGGGGGGAGGGAGGAGGAGGCAGCATGAAGGGCCTGTAATCTGCACCCGTGGAGGGACCGGAGCACCTGCATCTGTGAGATCGTGGTTCCCCCAAAGTGTCAGAGGGTGGACGTCAGTGAATTTCCTCTTCATACCCTTCGTACCCGCTCAGGGTTTCTTTCCCTTTGGGGAAAAAGGGGCCCAGTCTCTGGAGCACGAGGTTGGATTGATGGAGCCTAGGCATCACTGCCCTCGCCCTCCGGAAGACTGTGCAGTAGCAGGAGTGAAGGGTTTGCGGGCTGCCTCCATCTTGCCCAGCCCAGTCTAGCCCAGAATGCTTCTGCTGGGGGAGGGGCTTGTAATTCACAGCCAATGGGTGTTTTCCGGAGGTCCCAGGGTTACACTCACCCCTACCTCCACGTGAGCTACCATGTGGGACCCCAGAGATGGCAAGGGCCGTGGAATGTGGGGTGTGAAACATCCAAGCTAGAGGGGGCCTCCCAACACGGAACAGCAGAACTAGGAGTGTGTGTGTGTGTGTGTGGATGTGTGGATGTGTGGATATGTATGTGTGTATGTGCGTGTGCATGATAGAACACAGAACCTGGAACATCCATGCTGGAGGGAGCATGGGAACAGTGAATGCAGAGTGTCCAAGCTGAGGGGGATTTTAGAACATAGAACCTGGAGCATCAGCGTCTTAGAACGCAGAACAGAGTGTCCCAGTGGGAGGCCCTTCTGATCTCAGTCCAATTCCCTGCTTTGGCACATGAGGAACCTGAGGCGAAGCTACTTGGCCATAGTCCCCCAGGTGCCTGGCAGCAGATCTTTGGTGTGCCATGTTGTCGAACTCCCGGCCTGTGTAGGCCTTGCGGGACACGTCCTCGGTCTCCGAGAAGATGCAAGGGCAGTGACCCCTTGACTCCTAATTCAATGAGACACTGTCTGAGGGAGCAAAGGGGCCCCGGCTTAGCCTCTGCCCTTCATCTTCTCCGGCAGAGAGGGTCTTTCTTTACTTTCACATGTTTTTGTTGGTGTCTCTTCTTCCATCGCCACAATTTCCCCCAGTAATCCGCCCCCTTCCAAATGGGCAGCCCATGCAACAAACAGTATTTTTTTTAGTTGTTTTTTTTTATTAATTTATTTTGAGTTATCAACAATCACTTCCATAGGCTTTTGGGTTTTAAACGTTTCTCCCTCTCCCTCCCCACCTCCCTCCCCAAGACGGGGTGCAATCTGATATAGGCTACACATATACATTCCTATTAAACATATTTTCACATTAGTGATCTTGTAAGTAAGAATTAGAATCAATAGGAGGAACCACCAGAAAGAGGAAACAAAACACAACAGAAGAAAAAAAAATAGCAAATAGTATGCTTCCATCTGCATTCAAACTCCATAGTTCTTTCTTCTTTGTAGATAGCATTTTCCATCACGAGGCCTTTAGAGATGTCTTAGATCCTGGCATTGCTGAGAAGAGCTAAGTCTATCCATATTAGTCATTGCATAACGTGGCTGTTACTGTGGACAATGTTCTCCTGGTTCTGCTCACTTCACTCAGCATTAGTTCATTCAAGTCTTTCCAGGTTTTTCTGAAGTTGGCCTGCTCATCATTTCTTATAGCTCAATAGTATTCCATTACATTCATATACCATAACTTGTTCAGCTATTCTCCAATCGATGGGCATTTTCTCAATTTTCAATTCTTTGCCACCACAAAAAGAGCTACTATAAATATTTTTGTACATGTGGGTCCTTTTCCCATTTGAATGATCTCTCTGGGATATAGCTCTAGAAGGGCTGGGTATGCAAATTTTTATAGCCCATTGGGCATAGTTCCAAATTGCTCTCCAAAATGGTTGGATCATTTCACAACTCTACCAACAATGCATTAGTGTTCCAATTTTCTTACATCTTCTCCAACATTTGTCAGATCCTGTTTTGTCATGTTGACCAATCTTATGGGTGTGATGTGGTACCTACCTCAGAGTTGTTTTGATTTGCATTTCTCTAATCAATAGGATTTAGAGCATTTTTTCATATGACTGTGGATGGCTTTAATTTCTTCATCTGAGAACTGCCTGTTCATATACTTTGACCATTTATCAATTGGGGAATGACTTGTATTCTTACAAATTTGACTTAATTCTCCGTATATTTTAGAAATGAGGTCCTTATCAGAGACACTGGTTGTAAAAATTCTTTCCCAATTTTCTACTTTCCTTTTAATCTTGGCTGCATTGGCTTTGTTTGTGCAAAAACTTTTCAATTTAATGTAATCAAAGTGATCCATTTTGCTTTTCGTAATGTTCTCTATCTCCTGAACAAACAGTATTTTTTAAGACAGAGGGGTGGGAGGGGCAGCTAGGTGGTGCAGTGGATAGAGCACTGGCCCTGGATTCAGGAAGACCTGAGTTCAAATCCGGCCTCAGACACGTAACACTTACTAGCTGTGTTACCCTGGGCAGGTAACTTAACCCCATTGCCTAACAAAAAAAAAAAAGACAGAGGGGTGGGGAGAGAGAGAGAGAGAGAGAGAGAGAGAGACATAGAGAGAGACAGAGACAGAGAGAGACAGAGAGACAGAGACAGAGAGAAGAGATAGACAGGAGAGACAGAGAGAGAAGAGAGAGAAACAGAGAGACTCAGAGACAGAGATAGACAGACAGACAGACAGAGACAGAGAGAGCAGTCACTGTGTGTAGGGTTTTCTTGGCTTTCCTGACTTTCCTCTGCATCAGTTCATGGCGGTCTCTCCAAGCTTCTCTGGAGTCATTGCATACTTCTCTTATAGTAATATTCCTTTACATTCATGTTTTATCATTCCCCACTTGATGAGCATCAACTTTGTTTCTGATTCTTCCACAAAATGTACGGTCAGCTTCTTTCTTTCTTAAATGCTTCCCATGACGGGGAGCTTACTACCTCGTGAGGTCGATCGCCAAGTCACACTTCCCTCGTGCTTTACGGATCACAAAGCGCTTTTCTGCCAGCGTCCTTATGAGAAGACTCCTGCTCAAGAGAGGTTGGGTGACTTGCCCTGGGTCACACAACTGTTGGGTGTCAGAGGTGGGATTCCAGCCCAGGCCTCCCTGATGAGCCTGTAATAGAGGGCCTCTGCACACGTGCGCACTTGCATCCTGCCTACTCAAGCACACACGTGTCTGGGCCCATTTGGGCACAGGTGAACACCCAAATACGCACCAACCTGGGGGCCCTGTGCGATCTGGAAAGAAAGGACTTGATTTCCAGTCCCTGTTCTGCACTCGCTAGGAGTGAGACCTTCAACAAATCACTCCACTATAGTTAGAGTTATCTTTTGTTGAGCCAGCCCTGCATTCCTGGCACAAACCCAACCTGGTCATGGTGTATGATCTTTCTAACATGTTGTGGTACTGTACTTTCTAATATTTAAAATTTCTGTGTTGGTGTTCATTAAAGGCATCTAAGTGGTGCAGTGGATAGAGCTCATGGCCTGGAGTCAGGAAGACCTGAGTTCAAATCTGGCCTCAGACACTTACTAGGTGTGTGACCCTGGACAAATCACTTCACCTCTGTCTGCCTCAGTTTCCTCAACTATAAAATGGGAATTTAATAGTACCTACCTCACAGGCACAGGGTTGTTGAGAGTAAAATGACGTATTTGTTAAACACTTAGCACAGTGCCTGGCACATAGTAGGTACTATATATGATGTGATAAACATTTATTAAACATGTACTATGTCCCGTGTATGGTGCTAAGTGCTGGGGATACAAGTAAGAAAAAGAAAGACAGTCCTTACTCTCAAGGCATTTATATTCTAATGGAAGAGAGACAGTAGATGAAAGGGAACTGGAAGGGGCCAGAGGGCCAGAGGGCGCCTGGCATGGAGGTTGAATGATGGTGGAGGTGAAACCCAGCAAAGTAGCTGGTGGCAAATGAGGAGCTGCCTGGCCTTTCACTTCCTCTGTAAAGGGAGGCTCTGGGAGGAGTGTTTACTCCACCCTCCAGCCCACCAATGAAAGAGGCAGAAGCAGCTGAGGGGAACCAATGAGGTGTGAGGAGCAGAGCTGAAGCCATCTTTGTTATGAGGAATTTCCTGGTGATGAGTTGGTCCTGGTTAGGGCTCAATGAAGGTAATAAAGGAGTTGATGGAGTTGATGGAGTTGAAACCAGACAGATCAGCTGGTGATGAAAGCTATCTTTTCTTCCTCTTCCTCTTCCTCTTCCTCTTCCTCTTCCCGTTGGGGCTATTGGTCTTTTTCTGCTTTATCTTTCCCTGGTTTGGATATGAAGGTCATATTTGTATTGTAGAAAGAAATTAGAAGAAGAGATTTTCTTATTCCTGCAAATGATTTATGTAATATCACTATTACTTCTCTTCGATTATTTGATAGAATTCACTTGCAAATCCATCTGATCCTAAAGATTTTTTCTCTAGGAATTCATTTAGTGCTTGTTCAAAGACTTTTTCTGGTACTGGGTTATTTAAATGGTTCATTTCTTATCTTGATCATCTATATTTTTGTAAGTAGACATCTATTTTCTCTAAGTTATCAGTTAGCATATAATTGGGCAAAATAGTTTCCAAGAATTTCTTGTGCTTTCTCTCTAAGTGTTGTAAATTGTCCTTTTTTGTTTTTGACACAAACTATTTGGTTTTCCTCTCTTTTAAGTCAGGTTAGTTAACTCTATTTGATTAGTTTTTTTTTTAAACTCCTACTTTTATTTATCAATTTGATGGTCTTTTTGCTTTTAATTTTATTAAACTCTAATTTTCATAATTTCTACTTTGCTTTTTATTTGAGGATTTGAAATTTGTTGTTGTCCAAACTTTTTGAAATTGTATGCCCAATTCATTGATTTGTTCTTTCTTTTGTTGATGAAAGCCATTCAGAGATATAAATTTCTTTCCATAACTTTTATCCACATTCTGTAAGTTTTGCTATGTTGTCTCATTATTATAATTTCCTTTGGTGAAATTTTCTGTTGTTTCCATAATTGTTCTCTGAACCATCAGTTCTTTAGAATTACGTTATTTGATCTCCAGTTGCTTTTTAATTCTTTCTTTAAGGGCCCTTTTTAGAGTGTATTTTTATTGCGTTATGATATGTAAATGATGTATTTAGTATTCCCCCTTTTGTAAGTTTTTGGTAAAGTTTTCTTGCCTCAATATATGGTCAGTTTTTCTAAAGGTTCCATATGTAGTTTAGAGGTATGTAAATTTCTTTCTGTTTCTATTCAGTAATTACCAGAGGTATATCACACTTAATTTTTCTAAAATTTTATTTAGGTCCTTAACTTTTTTCTTTTTTTATCTTTTGGTTCAATTTGTCTGGTCTGGAAGGGGTACATTAAGGTCCCCATGTTCTTAGGTGCATACATATTGTGTTAATATGGATTCATTATCTATAGTGACTTTGAGAGCAGTGTAATTTCCCTGCTTATCTATTTTTATCTAATCTACACCCCCCCACACACCACACACACACACCACACACATGTGCACACACATGTGCACACACATGTGCACACACATGTACACACCACACACACATGCACACGCACATGCACACACACTCACACAGTGTCCTTATTTGAAGTCATGATTGCTCTCCTTGCTTTTCTGAGTTCAGCCAAGGTGTAATAGATTTAACTCCAGCCCCTCATTTTAACTGTATGTGAAGCTCTAAATGTGAAGTGTGCTCGTCATAAACAACAGGTGCTTGGACAGACCTGGGTTCAAGCCCTCGCTCCGCCTCTCACCCCCAGTCTGGTGGGATGGCTCACTCGGTGCTGGACGGGTAAAGGCAGCAAGTGGAGGCGGGCCACAGCCCTGGCAGAGGCTTCAGGGTGGTGGGCAGAGAGGCCCCGGTGGTCCGGGGTGTCTTCTCCTCCTTCCTCAAAGGCCCAACGTGGACTGCCCCAGCTTCTTGGCTTGCAGTAGCCAGCCTCGGTGGATGATTCGGGGGCTTCCCCAGTTCTGTTGGTGTCCTGGCCCACAAAATTACTCACCCTCTCTGGTCCTCAGTTTCCTCATCTGTAAAACAGGTTGCACCAGATGGCCGCTGGTTCCCTTCTGGCTCGTAGTCAGCCGATGAGCCCGTGACTGGGAGCCAGGCTGGGCACTGAGCCAGGCTGGTCCATGAGAACCTGCCCTGTCCAGCGCTGGGCTAGTCCGTAGGCCTCGTGTTCTGTGGGGGGCATGGCCAGCAGACGCGCCAATGAGAGGGGATGCGCTTTGGGAGGGGGGCAGAGGCCAGGCCCATGGGTGAGTCACGGCTTGGTCTCCAGCATCTTCCTGACAGCCATCCTGGGCCTTCCGGAGGCACTGATCCCCGTTCAGCTGCTCTGGGTGAACCTGGTGACCGATGGGCTGCCAGCCACAGCCCTTGGCTTCAACCCCCCTGACCTGGACATCATGGAGAAGTTACCCCGGAATCCTCAGGAGCCCCTCATCAGCGGCTGGCTGTTCTTCCGCTACCTGGCCATTGGAGGTGAGTGGGAGGCCAGGGCCTGGGCCTGCTCGGCTAGGCTGCAGGCCTGCCCTCAAGATGCTTGCAGTCTACTGGGGGTGTGACAGCACCTGAAGAGAGTAATGCAGACACCGAGGAGGAGGCCTAGAACCGGGCCCTGCCCTGGGCCGCTGGAGCTTGGCAAGGATGGAGAGGCGGAAAGGAGAGAAGGCAGAGGGCGCTCTGGGCAGGGGTGGGTGGCAGGGCCAGGCAATGTCTGGGGGCTTGGTTAGGGCGGGGCATGCAGGGAAGGAAGGAGCCAGGTGGGGAGGGCCTGGGATGGCAGGATACCCAGTGGGCACTCTATTGGGTTGGGCCACAGGGAACCCCAGGAGGCTCAAAGCAGAGGGAGACTGACTGTGGGGGTGCACAAACCACACCCCACTTAACCCCATTGCCTAGCCAAAAAAAGAAAAATAATAATAAGATGGGCCTTAAGGGACCTTAAGACTGTCCTGTCCAATCTCCTCCTTTGTTGGTGAGGAAGGAGAATCAGCCCGGGTCTTGTGGGTTGTCTGGAGTCCCACAGCTAATAAGGGCATGGGCAGGCCTGAATCTCGGTCTTCAGGGCATGGTCCAGCACTGTCGTGAAGGAGAGCCGGGAGGGGGCAAAGATGCAGCCCTATTGGGAGGCGATGGTCACCGCCTGAGCCCAGAAGAATGATCCTGAGATATCTCCACTGGAGATGCCCCCCGGGGCCCCTACTGGGGACACCCTTTGTGCAGGGAGCCCCCATTGGAAACTGCTCCACCCCAGGGGTTTGAGAGCCCCCAGTGAGGACATACATCCCCTGGTATCAGGTAGCCCCACTGAAGATACCCTTTGGAGATGGGGCCCTGCAGGCTCTTACAGGTCTGCCCCCCTTGGGGAGGTGACCACAGGGGAGGCTTCAGCCCGCAATGATTCTGGCCCAGCTAGCCCGAGAAAGGGCTGTCTGGTGCGACTGTCTCCCGTCTGGCCTCCCTGCCTCTAGCTTTTCTAGGCCACCTCCTTCAGGTGCTCCCAGCCCTGGGCATCTGTCCCAACTCAGTGGCCCTTATCTAGACAGCCCCAAGGGGGAGGTGTGAGCATGAGCTAGCTGAGGGAGGGGGCCCTGGGGCCGGAGGGCCGGAGCACCGGAGCACTAAGGTGTGGGAGAGATGGAGGCCTAGCGGCCAAGATTTGCTGAGTATTTCCTGTGCGCCCAGCTTCTGCAGGACGCCGACCCCAGGAGGAGACCGTTGGGACAGTGTATTGAGTCAGCTTCAAGCTCCTGTCCCAGAGTCCCAGGGCCTCCCCGAGACTGGGAAACTCTTCTCTGCAGGCCTGGGGGGTAGGCGTGCTGTAGCCCACCTCAGCCTCTACTTTCACTGGGCTCCCTGGGGCATAGGGGTCACCCCTCCCCACACCCCAATCCTGGGAAGCCTCCAGACGAGTGGCCTGGCATCCCCTGCCCTGCAAGTGGGTGGGGGCCACCTCCCTAAGCCTCCTCTTCTGCTCTCTCCTCTGGCAGTGTATGTGGGCCTGGCCACTGTGGGGGCGGCCATGTGGTGGTTTCTGTATGATATAGAAGGACCTCAAGTCACCTTCCACCAGCTGGTAAGTGAGCAAAGGGGCAGAAGGGGCAGCGTGGTCCAGTGCTCAGGGACAAGCAGCTGGAAAGGCTCAAGGGCTTCCTGACTGTCCATAGGAGAGGAAAGCTGGGGCTAGCCCCAGGGCGCCTTCTGGCTAGCCCCAGCGTCCCTGCCCCTGGCAAGCAGGCAGTCCCATCTCCCTGCCCAGGGCATGGCTGCATAGGGAGGTCCTGCCCCAGGAGGGGAGGGGCGGGGAAGGAGGAAGGACATGTGAGCAGGACTGCTGGGGTGTTGGGAAGGGAAGACCCCCCCCCCCCTGCAGGCTGGGGACTCACTCTCTCCCTCCCTGCCTTTGACTGGCAAAGAGCCGAGCCTGGCGGTCACTGCTTTTCCCACCCAGCCACGGACTCCAGGGACCCTTCTGCCTCTGACCAGGTCCCTTCTCTTCCTCTCTTCCCCCCAAACCGCAACCGTCATCCAGAGGAACTTTATGAGGTGCACGGAGGGCAACCCGCTCTTTGACGGCGTCGACTGTGAGGTCTTTGAGTCTCGCTACCCAACGACAATGGCCCTTTCTGTGCTGGTGACCATCGAGATGTGCAATGCACTCAACAGGTAGGACAGTATGGCCGCCTGAGACCTGGGGAGGTGGGAGGGCAGGAGGTCTGAGATGCTGGGGGGTGAGGGTGGTCTGAGGCCCGGAGAGGTGGGAGGCAGCAGGAGGCCTAAGTGGGGGATGAGGGGCCACAGGCCAAAGCCCCTAGTAATTCTCTCTCCTCAGTAGCAGCCTGGGACAGTTGGGTTTTAGACCTGACTCGGCCTGACTCCTTGTGTGACCTTGGGTTCACCTCAATGGGCCTCAGTTTCTCCAGCTGAAAAATGGGGTGCTTATCCCCAGCTGACCTTTTCAGGGTATATAAGAAGTCCGTGAGATGGAGGGGAGAGGACGCTTTGGATGTGACCGGGGGCTTCCTCCGTGTCTGGGAGGATTGACTTCTAAGCCCTCTGTGTTGGCCAGTGGGGCAGAGGGGAGAGAAGCTGGCCTGGGAGCTTGGTTAGCTTTGCCAAGTCACTGCCCCCTCAGGACTTCGGCTGCTTCACCTGCCAAATGTGGCCGTTAGACGAGCTGGTCTGCCCGTCCCCTGCTGAAGTGCAGGGATTGAATGGATCTCTGTGGCATGAGAGTCAGGACTCCCCCGGGGGGGGGGAGGTGCACAAAGCGGGCTGACGTGTCATGGGACAGCCCTAGCCAGCGAGGGCTGAGCCTGGACACTCGGGCGAGACTTGGACTCCAGCCCAGAGCTGGCCTTCCTGGGCCCCGCTGCGTCATCCCCGCCTCTGGCTGCCCCCGCATCTCCCACATACGTCCTTATTTTATCCAGATTCATCTGATCCTTTCCCCACCCCTGCCCCCAGCTCAACCAGTCAGAGGCTCTGGGTTCAAGTCTCCCCTCTGGTGCCTGCTCCTTGGGTGACCTTAGCCCACCTCTTAAGCTGTTCTGGGCCTCCTGTCCTGTGGAAAACAAGGCTTCTCCCTCTTCCCCTTTGAGGGATCCCAGGTCTGGGCTCTCTGGGCGCTGAAGGGGAATCAGTCAGGATCTGCCTTCGAGGCCCCTGGACACTGGCGCTCATGCGACCGGGGCAGAGATAGGACTTCGTGTCGCCGGGCTGTGATTTTCTCATCTATCAAAGTGTGTGTGTGAAATGATACTGAATGAGATTTAATGGGAGGGTGTCACTTATCACAGCTGGGTTCACAAGATCGTCTAAGCACAAGATGAAGATGCTGTGGCCACACAGAGGCTCTCCAAAGCCTGGGGGGCTTTCCTGGACCACAAGCTCAGCAGGAGACCCTAGTGTGTGTGTGGCAGAGGGGCCGGGGCTGCCAATGAGCCACGAGTTGGAGGCTGGCTTAAGAGAAGCTTGGCCACTGGGCTGAGCTGCCCCATGGCACGGACCCCCAGTTCAGGTTTTTGGTTTTGTTTTCACTTTTCAGCGTATCAGAAAACCAGTCTCTGCTGCGGATGCCCCCCTGGCTGAACCTCTGGCTGCTGGGCGCCATCATCACGTCCATGGCCCTGCACTTCCTGGTCCTGTATGTGAAGCCGATGCCTGTAAGGGATCCCTCTGGCCCGCACCTCCCCCTAAGGGGTTGTAGGGATGAGCGGTGTTGGCCCGGTGTCCACTCCCCTCTGGGCCCCTGATGGGCACCATTCAGCTCAGCTGGCTGGCCCCAAGCTGGCCTGGCCGAGACTGGGAAAAGAGAAGTCGCTTTTGTGGTTGGGGAGGGAGCGGGACCAGCAGGAAGGGCCAAGCTGTTGTCCAGCACAGGGAGGGCTGAATGGGGGCCCCCCCTGGGCCAAAGGACCTGAGGGTTTCAGACCTGAGAGATCCCAAGTCCAAACCCTCCACGTTATAGATGAGAAACCAAGCCCTGGAGTTGGGTGGGGGGGACTTAGAGAAAGCTTCCCGGGTGAGGAGTGCTTGAAGGATGGTGAGGACCTGGGCAGGCAAACGGCTAGAGGAGAAGGCTCTTCCGAGGCAAGCAATAGTGGGGCCCAAGGGGCGAAAGAGGGATAATGGGAGGGGACAGTTTGGAGACTAGCCTGGCCAGAGGACAGCGTGTGGAAGGAGTCCTGGAGGTCAGAGAGGTCAGGCAAGGTTAGGCTCCAGAGGGCCTTGAATGCCACACTAAGATCACTTGCAACCATAAATGTAGAGTCTGTTATTTCCCGGGCTCTTAAGCCATTCCCAAGTTGGGTGGGGCAGCCTCAGGTGCCATATTAGCGAGGTGCGCATCATCAGCACCGGTGGCACTATAGCCAGAAGTCCTCACTGTCGCAGACTCAGGGTGGCCCGAGGCCCCCTGGCCAAAAACGTGGATGTGGCCTCCTCCAGCGCTGCAGGCTCTCCTCGGCCTGAGTGCCACCAAAGTGGTCACCACTGACCATTCCTTCTTGACCACCTCTATCCCCTCCCCCCAAGGAAGGAGACCAACAGGGTAGTGCAGCAATGACCTTGGTGCTGTCCCTAGCCACTGCCAGTCAGCCTACCACCCTCAGGTCTGTTAATACCCCTGGCCGGGGTGCTGAAAGGACTCCAAGTTCTGATTGTCCCCTCCCTTCCACCCTGAAATCCGACCGCAAACCCCAGGCTAGGAGGTCCATCCACACACCTGCAGAAATCCAAACTGCATGTAGGAATCGGTCCATAGCCCATCCTCCCAGGAGCCAGGGAACTGTCCTGCTACTGCTCTGTGGGGAGGAGCCGTGCTGAATCCAGTCGTGACTTTGGGACTGGGCGGCCCAGGGTCAGGGCTAGGGTTAGCCTGGAAGTTAGAGGCTAGCCTGGGACCTGGCCAGTCTGTCAGGAGCTGTCCCAAGCCCTGGGGACACAAACACAGCCAAACAGTCCCTGCTTACAAGGACTCGAAATCCCGGTTCTTATTCTAACCTCCAGCCTTAGCGCAGTGTCTGGCACTGAGTTGTTCAGTCGCGTCTGACTCTTTGTGACCCCAGGGACCACAGTGCTGGCCGTGGGTTTTTCTTGGCAAAGATTCTGGAGCACTTTGCCGTTTCCTCCTCCTGTGGATTAAGGCAGACAGTGAAGTGACTTGCCCAGGGGTCACATAGCTAATGTGGTCTGAGGTTCCTGTGCTCTATCCACTGAGCCGTCTAGCTGCCTCTGTGTGGCACGTAGTAGGTGCTTAGTAAGTGCTTGTGGACTAGTGGAGAGGACAACATGTGCAGAATACAGAGACTGACCACAAAAATTCAAGGTAGTCATGGGGGGCATGCTCCCCATGGGAGGGATTAGGGAAAGCTTTGCCCAGAGGTGGCGTTTGAGGTGGAGATTGGGAGGAACGGCATTCCAGGCATGGGGAACAGCCAGTGCAAAGACATGGTGGTGGGAGAGTGAGGGTCACGTTTGAGGAACAGAGAGAAGGCTGCTTTGGCTGGACCACAGGTTGTAAGAGAGGGAACAAGGCTTTGAAGGCTGAGCAGAGGCGTCTCTCTTTGATTCCCAGTGGGGAGCCAGTGGAGTTGGTTGGCTGGGAGAGTGACACGGTGAGACCTGTTGGGCACCAGTGGGTAGGGTGGAAGGGATGAGGGCCTGTGTGAGTGGAGGGCAGGGCTGGACGGAGGAGTTGTGGGCATCGAACACCCAGATCTGCCAGCGGATTGGCTCTGAGCCATTGTGAGAGTGAGGAGTGGAGGGTGCAGCCATCTGTCCAGTCAGGAGCTGGAAGGCTGGTGCTGCCTTCAGTAGGAAGAAGGAGGGATTGGGGAGAGAGGTCTCGAGGTCAGTTTGGGGCATGGTGGGTTTGAGACAGGAATGGAGGCAGTTGGTGAGGGGGGATGGAAGCCCAGGGGAGAAGTGGAGGCTGGCTGGCTCAGCTGGTCTGTCTGTAAGCAGCCCATTCTCTGTTGGGCAGTAATTGCTGCCCAAGGCACCTGGAGCCGGCATTCCTGGCCACTGGCCTCTCCAGCCAGCCAGAGGCTGGCCCTTTGAGGTCTGTTTCAGAGCCGTGACACCAGACTTAGCAGCAGGGCCTTGCAGTCCGGCGTCTCCTTCATTACTGCTTCTCAGAGGGGACGGTGAAAGAGACTGGTGCCATGACCAGTTATGGGGAGGGGGAAGTCCCAGGTGAGGGAACTCTCTGCCAGTGCAGGTGCGCCCTCCCTGGGGCTGGAAAGTAAGCTAAGCTGCCAGGATCACACGGCCAGCAGGGATCAGAGAAGGGCCTTGAGGCCAGGCCTCTGCTTGGAGGCTGGCCGCGCTCTGTCCAGATGGATGATACAAAAATTCATTTGAATTGACTCCGGGATTCGTCGCGATTTGCTTTCCTGGTAGATTTTCCACATCAGTTCTCTTTTCCAAGGTAGGCAGGAGTCACAGAATTTCACAGCTGGCAGGATGGCCTGAGTCCATCATCAGGGCACCCTAATCTGGACAAGAATCCCCTCTGGGGCCGTCCCCTAACCAGCCGTGTGCCAGGCACTGTGCTGGGCCCTGGGCATACAAATGACAAGTGGGCATAGAGCATCTGCCTGCAGTGCCTCTGGAGGCGGCCCCTTCCACGCTGGGACACCTAGCCTCAGTGTCCCTCTTTGCACCTTCTGCCTTTGGGGCCAGGCAGAACTGGGCTGATGCCTCTTCTTGTGAAAGTCCTTCACGCAGCTGAAGGCAGCATCATGTCCCTGCTAACTTCCACATAAACACGCCCCCGTTTTTGGACGGATATTCTCCAATATTTCTGTGGATTGCGCCTCGGTGACCCCCAAAGCACGCTGACTGGTTGGGGGTGGCCCAGCTGATCCGCAGAGTGGTGACGGAATAGAAATTCATTTCACCAAACCTCTCCTGAGTCCCCTCCCCCTGCCCCAGCATGGTACTCAGTGGCACTGTGCGCCCTGGCCCTGGGGGACCTCAGTCTATGGTGGGGGACACATGCCCCACCCCCTAGAGAAAGAGGAGAACTAGGTGAGCGTGGGAGGAAACAGCCCCTTGAGAGCCACGGGAGCCTGTGGGCACTCAGAGGGGAGAGAGGACCTGGAGCTGAGCAGAGCAGAGTGTGAGCGTGGACCCCGGTGGGAGGGAGCAGTGTGGAGGAAGGCCCAGGCTGGGAAGAGGGAGGTGGGTTCGGGTGACAGCTAGTCGGTCAGGCTGGAGTGGGGGGATGTTCAGGGAAGCTGAGCCCAGGTTGGCGGGGGCCTTGGCCGCCAGGCTGAGTCTGAGCCTGACCTCCCAGCAGTGTGTGCGTCCAGAGGGCAGCTGGCCTGCTCCCTGCGGTAACGGCCTGATCTCTGCTCTCCAGCTCATCTTTCAGGTGACCCCCCTGAGTGGGCAGCAGTGGGCGGTCGTGCTGAAGATCTCCCTGCCTGTCATTTTGCTGGATGAAGGCCTTAAGTACCTCTCCCGAAACCACCTGGCTGGTGAGTGCTGCGGGGGCTGCTGAGGCAGCACCAGTCTCTGCTAGGGGTCCCCGCGTGCTGCCTGGTCCACTGCATGCTCTGCTCGTGCTGTGTGCGCCCCTGCTGCCTCAAGCCCCGGCCGATGTAGCTGCCAGGACAGTTGCTCTCACATCTGGGTCTCTTTGGGGAGCCTAGGGATCCAGGATTGCCCCGGGGAATGCCCCCAAATCTCCAGATGTTGGTGCCCACCACCACTTGCCAGAGGAATGGCCTTTTTGAGGGGGGCATGGGTGGAGGTGGGGGGGGCTGAGGCCCGGAGCTGAGCTTTCTGTACCTGGGCTGGGCCTCTTTGGGAGTGGCCCCCAAACCCCCAGTTGCCAAATTCAGGAGAGCCTGGCTGGTGCAGACCTGAGATCTTCAGTAGGGACCCCACTTGGCTAGGGCTTGGCTGCTTAGAGGAGGAGGGGCAAGATGGCAGAATGTAAAGAAAGACCCTGGCGCGGCAGCGCGACAGTCCTGCCCAGCTCCAGCCTTGGCCGTGGAGCTCTGAGGGCTGACCCCACCCTGCACGATCTTTTCTCGGCAAAGACCGCCAGGCACCAGCTGGACTCAGGCATCTGAGGAAGGAGAGACCCCTGGTCATGGGACCACAGGCTTTCAAAGCCGGGAGGGGCTTCTGTGGCAATCTGGTCCAACCCTGACCCTCACTCACACACATTCCCAACAAGAACTCATGCAGCTTCTTGGAGACCCCTCAGGACAGGCAGCTTATCACCTCCCCCGTTTCGGGCAGCTCTCTTTGGGGGAGTTGTTCCTGCCCTCGGGTCTCGGTCCTCCCCTGGGGGGGCACTCTCAGGGGTCAAGCAAACAGAACAAGCCCAGGAAGCGTCCACTTCATCTCCTCACTTGTTAAGCTCCAGGCACTGGGCTAAGCATCAGCACAGGGTCACGACTGCCCAAGCCTGCCCCACTGGCTGTTTATTTGACCAATAACCTCAGGAGAAGTGGGCAAACGACCTCTCGGCCTGGCTATTCTCACCTTATGAAACAGGGATTGTCCAGCAAACTCCCCAACCCTAGCGGGGACTGAGCCAACACGACTCCAGGACCCCTCCCCCTCCCTCCATGGGGCTGCAGACCCCCAAAGAAGGTAGACCGCGTCTCAAGAGAGCAGAGAAACAGAGCTGAAAAGGGTCTCAGACATCATGGAGCCCACATCCCTCATTTTACAGATGGGGACACTGAGGCCCAGAGGTAGGACAGGGCTTGCCTGGCTTCACCAGCAGAAGCAGCCTTCAGCCCCAGGACCTCTGACTCCTGGGGCCACGTCCGGCTGCCCAGGCAGGGCTCTGATAGGTGGCTTAGCAGGAGGTCTCCCCTGGGGCTCTGCCTGTCTGAGAGACCCAGGGTGACCCCAGGCCCAACCAGCCCAAGGTGCTGAGTGCTGGGGGGTGAGGGGGATTGGGGTTCTTTCATTACTTCTCTTTTACTGGGGGGGGGGGTGAAATTGAAGGAAGGATTAAGGCCACTCCCGTCCTCCCAACCTGGAGAGGCCCATCCGTGGCCCCAGGCTGGAGATGGAGGGCTGGGATGCACATCACAGAGCTAAGCAGAGCTCCCTGGGCCCCTTGGCGCCCCAGTCCAGCCCTCCCCACAGCCCTGTCAGGGCTGGCCTCTGGGCTTGGGGGCTCAGGGGGCAGCACAGAGGGGCCAGAGCCCTGGGGGGTGGGTTTGGACACAGGTTTCAGAGGTCAGGATCCCCAGGTGAGCCTGGGCTGGCCCCCACCAGCTCTAACCGGCTGTTGTAGGCTCTTCTGTAATGAGGAAGGCCTCCTGGCCACAGTGGGCAGGAACTGTTGTGGGCTCTGGCCTAGAAGGGGCTCTGTGCAGGCCCTGGATTCAGATGCAGGCTGGGTCAGTGAGGGAAGCTCAGGAGCCCCGGGCCTTACCCCCTTCCTGTGAGGTTGTGCTCAGGAGGAGCAGCCCTTACTTCCCCCAGACCCTCCCACCTGGGGGCAGCTGGCTTCAGGGGCCATAGGTGCTCTCCCTAGGGCTTGGTGGGCAGTCACTGAGCTGGGCTGCACTGAGGGGGCTGGCCAGTGGAGGGCCCAGAGTCAAGGCTCGGCAGGGTCCCTTGTAGGCTGGGAGACTTTGGGCAAATCACCTTAGTTCTTTGAGCCTCAGTCTTCCACCCCCTAAGATGGGACAATGATGGTCTGTGCTCTCCTCCACTCCAGGCCTTTGGGGAGAAAAGCAGTTTGCAAACTAGCTGGAGGCTGCTAGTTCAATGTGCACTGGACAGTTGTAGGTAGAGGTACCTGGCTGAGCTCTGGCCCCTGTGGGCACCAGCTCTGGGAGTCTGGGCCAATGCAGCCAGGCCAGACCACTCTGACTCTTGGGCTAGCTTCTGGCCTTGCCTCTGACAGCAGGGGAGAGACATGTAAGGCGGAGGAAGCCAGGCGTCCCTTGGGGAGAGAGAGCTCGAAGCCTGGTGGCCTGTGTGCCCCGCTCCCAGGCCCAGCAGGGGCTCCTCCATCCCTGGGCTTGGAGTGAGTGTGTCCAGAGGAGCTCAGCTGTGAAGCTGCACCCCCTTGCTGGTGCTGATCTGGGGGCCTGGGCACTCGGCCCGGATGAATCACACTCGTCCTGCCGCAGCATCCCCCTCACTCCATGCCTGTGCTTGTGCTCTGGGGACCCCTCATCCTCCGGCTCCTCTCTGAGTGCCCCCTCCCCCATTTCTCCCCAGGAATCCTCAGGACAGCCTCCCAGGCATGGAGCGGTCAGCCTCCCCAGGACCTCCCCAGGACGCCCGACCAAACCCGGTTGGCCTCTGCTATAGCCTTTCTGTTTTGTAGCCCGGGTTTGGCCCCCATGCCCAGAGGCCTTAGAGCCAGCCCTGGGAAGCGGGGCGCCTCCTCTGGGGGCAGCAGCAGCCGATCTCGAGGCCTGTGGTTCCCTCCACCCGCCTACGTCCCAGACCCAGGGAATGTGAAGGCGGGGTCCAGGGCAGGAATGTCCCTCAGGTCAGAGGGGGCCCTTGGGGCCTGCTACACATAGAGCTGGGGCATCATTCCAGACACTGAAAATCACTTCCCCTCCCACGGCCCCGCTGGCATGTTTCCTGTCCAAGCTAAGAAATGTTGACTTAGAAACAATCAAAACCCCCTTGCCGGACTTTCTGCTCTGGCCTCCTTGGAGTGGCCATGTCTGGGACTGCTCTGCAGCCCTCCTGAATGATTCCTCTGAGGCTAGGAGAGAAGAGCCAGGGCCATGCCCACGGGGATCTTACCTGCCGTCTCCCATTCACCTCAAGCAGAGGCTGGGGACCAGCATAGGGTCAAGGGCTGGGACTGAGCAGGGCTCCCCCAAGCCCCTGGGGCTGAGGGCTGTGCAGAGGCCTATCTTTAGTGTGCGTGGGCGCATTGTGCACCTGTGCGTGTACGTGTGTGCGTGGCTGTGTGTGCCCCTAGGCCACCATAGGTCTGGGGGTGGGAGGGTGCTTGGTGACAGTAGCCTCTGGGATGAGGACTCAGGTCCATGGGCATGGGAGCTGAGCTGCCCTACTGGTCAGAGTCCAGGACAGACCTTGGGGACAGGGGCTGGGAGGACGGATTTGGCCCATGAACGTGGCCCACATGAGCACCAGGCCACCACAGGGGAAGAGCAGAGGCAGGGGCAGGAGTCTGCCTCAGGGAATGGCCTCCTCCTGCAGTGAACGGCTCAGCCCGTCCTAGCTGCTGGGCGTGTCTTGGGCCACGTGTGGCCGCCCGGGACCTAGGCCTCTCTTGGGAATAACTCAGATTAATGAGAAGCCTCTCAGAGGCCAGGAGTCAGGGGGAGTGAGAGACAAGATACCAGTCTGTTCCCAAGCTGTCCATGAGGCCTTGTAGGGAAGTTTCCCTGGAGGCTGGCGACGGGGCCCGACTCTCTGATGATTTATAGGAGGAGGAAAGAAAACACAGAGGAGCCGACACCCCCCAGGCTCCGCTGAGAATCCTCCAGGGTCCCTCCTGCCTGCTCCTCAGGAGCGGCCCCTGGTCTCTGGAGGGAGGGGATCCAGCCTAGTGGATGGAAGTGGGGAGGGGGCCCACATTCAGTTCGGTTGAAGTGGTTAGATGGGGGGCAAACTCCATTAGATTGGGGAAGTTAGATGGGGTCACATTCCATTAGGTTGGGGTGGTTAGATGGGGGCCCACATTTGGTTGGGTTGGGGAAGTTAGATGGGGAGTCACAGCCATTTGGAGTTAGAGTTCTTAAGAAGAGGAGGGGAAGGTCAGGACAAGTGCATGGCCCTTGTTATCTGGAAGCCAAGGGGGAATGAGAGAGGAGAGGAGAGGAGAGGAGGCAGGTTCGCTGCCCATATGAAATCATGGATGCCTCCAGTCCCACCTAGGAAACAGGACAGCAAGTGGAAAGTCCCTGCAGACCCCAGGGAGGCTGCCCAGAGGCCCTGCCATCCATCTTTGAAACACTGTGGAGACTGGGGGGGTCCAGGCAAACAGTGAACTCAGAGCTCATCGAATGACCAGGCTGAAAGGGCTGTGACCACTGGCTGGCCATGGAGGGCTACAGGGGCAAAGATGGCAGTCAGAATCCCCAAAGCACTTAGCAGGCTGATAAAAGGGGCCATGCCCTAGAGGAGAAGGAAAGGGAAACGGGACGTCTGCTGCCCAGGCACATGACGGGGGACGACAGAACTCGACAGCAGTGATTGGATGAGGAGCCAGGGGCTTCGGGCCACCCAGGCTGCTGTGTTCACTTCTGGGCAGTGCACTTTGGAAAGCACGTGGTCGAATGGGGAAAATCCGGAAAACCGGGACCTTGATACCTCATCCCCCAGGGCCTGGGGCTGTTCAGCAGGAAGGAGAGAAGACTTGGGGAGGGGCACATGAAAACTGGCATCAGCTGAGACATGGAGGAGGAATCAGGCTTGTTCTCAGCCCTGAGGGAAGAACCAAGAAAATGTGGCTGCACAGGGAACTCTTGGAGCAACTCAGATTTGGAAAGTGGCAGAAAGGAAGATTTGGGCTGAATGTGAGGGAAACTTTCCTAACACTTTAGGTGCTTCCCAAGTGGGGTGGGCCATCCTGGGAGGGAGGGAGCTCCTCCAGTCAGAGGTTGAATGACCACTTAGCATCAGGGGTTTTGTAAAGGGTGATTCTTGATCAGAGAGCAGTGGAACCAGACCAGGGATTGGCCTTTACCCTTTGGTGGAACCTGGAGGTGTCCTGTCCCCAACCTCGGGCAGCAGGAACTCTGGGCAAGGCTTAGGAGGAAACCTTTCTCAGCACCAGGTTTGTAAATGCATAAAATAAAAAGCAATGGACCATAGAGAAAACCTGAAGTCTTAGAGGAGAGAGAGCAATATTTTTAGGTGGTCACTGAGGTCTCTTCCAACATGAGGTTGGTGGTTTTGTGTGTGTGTGTGTGTGTGTGTGTGTGTGTGTGACAGAGACAAGGACAGACAGAGAGGGGGCTGGGGGAGAGGAGTGCTAACTGGCTTGGCATCAGAAAAACCAAAATTCAAATCCTACCTTGGACACATTAGCTGTGAGATCCTGTGTGATCCTCAGTTTCCCCATCTGTAAAATGGAGAAACTTTTTTTTGGAGAAAGAGTGCCCGCCTCATAGATAATGCTCAATTGAAATAATGTGTGTAAAGGAATTTGCAAGCCTTACAGCTCTCTATAAATGTCAGCTGCCTTAGGTCTGGTGCGCATTTTAACTATGATTTGGGGATTTTCCCCCAAATACTTTTTTTTTCTTTTAGAAGAAAAGGAGAAGAAATGACGGATGGGACCCCCACTCTCTCTCCACATTGTGTTTCTGCCTGAAGCCTCAGGGACTGGCTCTACTGAAAACTGCTGCTCCCCTGGCCAGTGAATGTCTGAAAGCAACATCCAGATTCTTTGGATTCCTGCCCTTCCATTTTTTGGGGGGTTTTTGTTCACATTTGTCTGCAGCCCCTGCCCTCCTCAGGGCTTTGCCCTCCCGTGCTCATGTCTCATTCATCGTCTGTCTGTCTGCCTGTCTGTCTCTCCTCCCCTCCCCTCCCTTCCCCCCTCCTCTCTCTCTCTCTCTCTCTCTCTCTCTCTCTCTCTCTCTCTCTCTC